TGATGAGGATGGTGGTGGTGATGAGGATGGTGGTGATGATGAGGATGGTGGTGGTGATGAGGATGGTGGTGGTGATGAGGATGGTGGTGGTGATGAGGATGGTGGTGATGATGAGGATGGTGGTGGTGATGAGGATGGTGGTGATGATGGTGGTGGTGATGATGAGGATGGTGGTGGTGATGAGGATGGTGGTGGTGATGAGGATGGTGGTGATGATGAGGATGGTGGTGATGATGAGGATGGTGGTGGTGATGATGAGGATGGTGGTGATGATGAGGATGGTGGTGATGATGAGGATGGTGGTGATATGTGATGGTAATGATAATGGTGATGATGGTAATTATGATGGTGGTGGTGATGAGGATGTTGGTGATATGTGATGGTAATGATGGTAATTATGGTGGTGGTGGTATTAGTGGAGGTTGATGATAATGGTGGACAGACAGGTAATGATGGTGGTGGTGATGAGGATGTTGGTGATATGTGATGGTAATGATAATGATGGTAATTATGATGGTGGTGTTAGTGGAGGTGATGATGGTGTTGATAATGGTGGACAGACAGATAATGATGATGGTGGTGGTATGTGATGGTAATGATGATGGTCATACTGCATGATAGTGGTGGTATATGACCGTGATGATGTGATGGTGATAACGATAGTGATGATGGTGCTGGTGACGATTGTGCTGAGGGTGATGATGGGTGGTAATGAGGGTGATGATGGGTGGTAATGAGGGTGATGATGGGTGGTAATGAGGGTGACAATGTTAATGATGGTAATTATTATGTCTGGTGTTGTGCTCTGTATGATTTGGTGTATAATTGTTAATGTACATATTTGTTAAAATATATAAATTTTAGAACAGTTTAAACTTTTCCTTGTGTGTACTGGAAAGCAGCTGTTTATGTATAATGTGTTATATTTAACATCAACTATTTTCCTTATTATCTTTATAGGGTTTAGTATTTGAGAAACTTAAAGCAAACGTCAGTTCAAAATGGCCATTTATCATTAGTGCGGCAGTTTGCTGGATTCTACCAGTTATTCCAGTCGTAATTGTTCTCACTTCACGCGATGGTTACTCTGTGCCGTTTTTTGCAAATTTTTGCTTTCCCAGTTCACGTGAAATGTTTTACTACACGGCAGTTTTGCCTGAAAACGTTTTATATGCTGTTGGTGTTTCCTTCTTATATATTATCGTTTGGAAACTTCTAAAGGTTTGCTTACAATTACGATTACCATTTCTACAGCACAAATTTCCATGCGGATACGATCAAACACGCTTTACATCAAGTATTACGTTGACCTAGTTACATACTTAGCCTGGACTATTTTATCTTTACAACAATTGTGACATTACGTTCTTAACTATGTTTATCCTAATCCACCCTGTCAACTTTCCCTGCGGAAGGAAACGGGGGCACCCAGAGAAAACCCGCGACCTTCGGCAGAGCGTTGGCCGACTCGTTTCACATTAGTCCGTAGAGTGAATAGAACCCACGATCGCAGAGGTGAGAGGCGCTTTTTCTGAAGACTGAGCCACCGAAGCGCCATATTCAGTTTGATACTAGTAGAGGGTCTGCTACCCTGCGTAATACTCAATGTGAATGGTCATTGAAAAGTCCCAATGGGGAGTGAGCCGAATAATGTAATGTAACAATAGACAATTCCCATTATAGACTAATTTTAAAATTACTGTAGGCAAGGAGATGCAAATAAATCACCACAGCTAGAAAGAGCATACTAAAATGAGTAAAATTACAAAATTTGGTTGCGAAATGTTGTAAAATGCGGAAAATATATAGCCTTGCAAAGTTCGCAAATTTTGTGTACTTTTGTATTGCGTGCGGAAATTGCTACCATTTTCGGTCCAAATGTGGTAGGAATTTCCGCACCCAAAACAAAAGTATACAAAATTTGCGAACTTTGCAAGGCTATATGTTTTCCGCATTTTACAACATTTCGCAACCAAACTTTGTAATTTTACTAATTTTAGTATGCTCTTTCTCGCTGTGTATTTGCATCTCCTTGCCTAGTTTTAAAATTAGTCTATAATGGGAATTGTCTATTGTACAAAACTATCTACAGGGCCTTTCAATAGTAAAATATATCTTAATGCGCCCCAGTTTATTACACCTTGTCTATAGCCAGTGAGACTCAGTTGGTGAAAACGCTTTGAATCTATTACTAGGAGAGGCAAGCTCCAATAACAGCTTCGCACGATCAAGCAAAGACACGCAAGAGTAAAATGGACAGTGTTGTCAAACGATTGACGCTATTAATGATTTTCTACTGTGCGACAGTCTACCTTACGTATGGCAGTAATGCGTATCTTTTGAACAAAAGCGAAGCCTTGGAAACGTCCTTAAAACGTTACACCACTTGCGTGAATGTTCAACCAAAATGCCCTCGAGGTATGTGGAACAGACAACTAAACAGATAGCGAGCTGACACGTTTTTGTCGGTTATCGTTCCATGTTTCGCGCACCAATATAGTTTAAGGCCCTGTCACATTATTGCGTATCGTACTAGCGTATGCCAGCGTATGAAAAATATCACTCATACGCCGGTATACGCTGACATACGCTAGGGATACGTTAGGCATACGTTGTATACGTTTCAAGCACGGTCGCATACGGTGGCATACGCCGAAACAGAAATTTTTTTAAGCATGTTCAAAAATTGTACGTATGCTTTATATGATAAGCATACTCTAGAGTCTATAGGCACACGCTGAATACGCTAGAGGTACGCCAGATGTACGGTACTCATACGCTGGCATTTCAAAGGATTTTTGTGCGTATGAAAATTATTTCATTAATTTTCATACACTTCTCATACGTTTCTCTCATATGCAATAGTGTGACAGGGCCCTTAGGGTTAGTTAGGGCTAGGGGTAAGGGTGTATATATATGTATATTGTTACATGAAGATCATTTGATCTTTGATGTAACCCTTCTAACCATCATTATCATCTATATAAATATATATTTTATACTTTCAATTCTAGACTACAGAAAGTATGTCTCCCATATTCCATTGCTTCTCAACTACGTTGCAGCTGGCATATTCCCGCTAGCAACAGTATTGTTCATGGCAGCCAATGAGAGAACGCGAAGATTTTGGAAGCAACCATTCCACCAACTACGCAACATCCTATCACAGCATACAACCTCAAGCACTAACCTTTCATCACAGCTTATTAACGAGGGGAGTGATAGACAATTGACCAACAAGTCTGCATAAAGATCAACTTGTGGCCTAAATTCTTGGACAAAACCTTCGAGACCGTTCCAGCCAATATTACAAAGTTAATGCACATTGTCTACCATTAACCCCCCCCCCTTGTCTACCCTTACCCCCCCCAAAAAAAAAATATTGCAAAGTTAATGCACATTGACAAAACAAACCTTGTCTCCCCCCAGTTCAATGTTGTAAGATGCCGAAACAACTTTTGGTAATATACCACGACACAAGCTCAACATTCAGTTGGGGAATTTAAGTGTATGCAAATTTTGTATACGGGGAAAAATAGTCTCAACCAGTTATGTCCAAGATTGTAGGTCACTTTTTTCTCTGCTAGCTTGATATAAACAAGAACAACGCCTATGACAGACAATAGACAACTCCCGAATTTGCTGGCTGGCATTCGGAAAACTACTTTCAATAGATATTTACATGCATTGTTTGAGTCCCTGATTAAGATAAAATATATTTTTAAACCTGTCGGTATTATGAAAATGAAGAGCATAACTTTTGCTTGACAAGTTAAATAATTTCTATAAAAATATTTCTATAAAATCAGTATAAATCATGCGGTTAGTTAAAGCGGTGTATTATGAGCGCGCATAATCATGGCTTACTGTGATTTTCTATGAAACTTATAAATGCGAGTTTTTTATCGTAGTAAAGTTTTAAAATTAAAATTCTCAAATTTTCAGTCGTATTTATTGTATTGTGATCTATTTGCCATTTTAATTAGTTTTGGTAAACATTATACAATCCTCCCTCATCGTGTGAAATCCCACGTACAGCTTGAGTTATTGAAACGATACCATATTTCAACATGACCTCCACCTTTGAATTTATCATATGCCGAGTAAAATGTTAAACACCTGAATCTATTCATACAATAAAAAAGGTCGTCATGATCAAGTTTAGATTAGGGTTAGACTAGAAAAGTTACTATCGCAAGGAAAGTGCTGCCATCATGCTAAAAGAGTCTACAAAATATCTCGACCTATCTAAAAGTAAAACTTAACTCCTGAATGTAAAATTTAAACAATAAAAAACGTCGTCAAGTTTAGATTATATTATTAGATTAAGATTAGGGTTAGAGTTGGGGTTAGATTAGGGATAAATTCGGACGTGTTTAACATTTTATTCATATGATAAATTCAAAGGTGGAGCTCATGCTGTATATTTTCTAAGAATTTCAAAATCACCAAAATTCTGAGAATTATCTACTTTCTAGGATTACTCCACTTACTTTTGTGATGCTGATTGGATTTTCCAGGTATAATCTCGACCCCTGCTGATTGTTTGAAAAATGAGCCAATACACACAAGTGATCGCAGACTTTGCATAGCCAGAAAGGAAGGCAAAGGTCTGAAAGTAAACACAGGCGGCAAAAATTAATTTGGAGTGTTTATTACTGAACTTAAGTGCATATCGCTAGTAACATAAGACCGGTTTAGTTCTCAATCAACCGATCCAACATGAAAACCGGGACGATTCTTGCTTACGTACTTTGCGGAGTGATAATAATCTGTGCCTGGGTCGTTTGCTTCCTGCCGACAATATTTTACATGAATCCTTTGGAAATACCGCCAAATGAAAATCATGTTAATGTGAGGTATGTGTTAAGGTATATTCGACGAAAAACGTAGTCATACTACATTATTCTCAAGAAAACGTCATATTAAATTAATCTCATATTGCTGAGATCAAGGATTGAATGTTAATAGATCTTAAGGCCAATATACAGACCGGACACGATTTGGCAATGCAACGCGATTCTTAATAGCATATAACAACATCATTCTAATCACCGCCAAATGTATGTCATACATGCAGTGATTATGAGCGGACTTTCTTGTAAATAAATATAAATATTATCCAGCTCTTCAGTATATATAACTCCTCCTAGTGTAGTATAATACTGTTTTAGGAGTATTTCATTAAAGCATTCATTAAAGCATTGAAGCTTAAAGCGAATTTTCAATTTTTTAACTTTGAAATATTTAGAAGCGCTGTAACATTTTGAGTTATTTGGTCTTCATATATCCTTTAAAATTTCCTTTCATTGGCTGTTTTATTAACTTTATCAAAAACTGAACAATCGTAGTGAAATCGGGTCTAGGCTCTTACTGTTTACTGCACTTTTGCCTCATCGCCCCATTTCCATGTTGCCTGTTTTAGCATAGCGCACATGATTAAGGTTATCTATTCATTGTTCTTTGCAGTTTCAGATTCGACTAAAGCCTGCTTGGAATTTTGCAGGGGAAATTGTAAGTTTTGAAGGATTTGTAACAGAAATGTTTGAGACTCCGTGTTAAACTATAAGTCAGTTCCCTCAACTGACATTTCCTGCAAATCCTTCAAAACTTAGAATTTACCCATGCAAAACAGCTACTGTGTCTGCAATCACAGAAACCAGCACTGCTATTCAAAGATCTCTCATTGCGCTACAGTGAGGCAATATATCTTTCTGTCGTGACGTCGTTAGCTTACCCTATGTCTACGTGCGAAACAGGTTGTGACTATAGTGCGCGCATAAGGCAAATCTTGCACTCGCAGTAAAGGCAGCTCTTTATTATCTAATGAGTAATGACTAATACAGCGCGCGTCTTCTGATCGTGAAAAGATTTCGTGTTGTTAACTTGAATAGAATATGTAATATATCTTTGGAAACAATTCGTATTAAAAACGGAGATAGGAATTATAAACATATTCCCAGTGAGCCGGAATACCGGCGATCCAAATGGGAAAATGTGCCGCGATTCCCAGGACACGTGAAAATGATAACTTTCTCGTTTGCCTGATCAGTTTCATTAAAACAACGAATAAGTGTAGTCTAATGCCAGTATACACTATGTTTCCCATAACCGTATATGCCTTCATTTGTTTACAGATAAAACTCAAAAGAGCCGAACGTTTTTCGAGAGTAATCTTAAACCTACATGCCTGGACTTGTCCATTGATTCTTGAAAAATCAACATTTAGGAGGCCTGTTTTTTAGTTCAATCATATCGTAATACCGTAGCGCGCGCGCTTTTTTTTCGTCAAAGTCATCAAGTAACTAAGACTATGTGCCTCAGATGTACTTGTATTTTATCAATATTTTATTAAAGCTTCGTCTTCGGATTGAAAAAGATGTAATCGTTTACAATCCTGAAAAATAATCTTGAAGTGTAGTGCCAATTAATACACCCTTTCTTATTATTGGGGCTACACTAGCAAAGACTGCTCAAGACGTTATTGATTAAAACAATCAATCTTAACCAATCTTGTTCAGTTGTTTTGACCAAATAATATTGGTCAAAAGAAAATGCATCTGAGACAACCAATTCAAATTGGTTATTTTAACCAATCCGTTTTTACAGTGCACGTTATCTAAGCAATAGTCACAGGGAAATTGTGAATATGGCCGACATTCCTCTCTGCCACCACTTTTGTTACATAACATACTTTTAAGATGAAAAATAAAAGAAATAGGATAAAAAATAATCAGACTACTTTTTAAAATAAATTCCCCTGTGTAACATGGCCATTAAATTGATGTCGCATGTGAATCATTTAATCTGTTGCTACAGTAGTTAGGTGAACAGGAAGACAGACAGAAGATTGGGTCATTCCAGAAAGACACCCCCCCCCCCCCACAAAGGAAATTTCTGCAGTCCAGAGGGAAAGGGGAGAAAAAATTGTTTCTGATAACTGATAAGTGTATTAGGACATCCGAAAGGGGGTTAACTTCCAATTTCCTTGATAGGAGAGGGACGGATGTTTTCTGAAATGACCCATTTAGCAAAGCGTGGATCATTATGTATACTTCTTGCTTTTTTGTCTAGTTTGAATACCTCTCTCATGCCACTATTCCCATGCAATCCACCTTTGATTTTCTCCAATCAGTCTGGATTTTGCAAGCCTGCCTGTGATTGGCTGCCATTTAGCAAGCAAGAGCAACATGGAATGTTAATCGCGGATTGGATAACGACCATATTCTGTATAACATGCTTCTGTATTATCCTCGCCACATGGCTCAAACTACCTGAATTGTAAGTGAGACACAGTGATTATCCAACTAATCCTCTAACAACCCCAATATTCCAATCCTAACATTAATCCAATACTAATAATCCTTACTTAATCTAAACCTTAAAGATGTTCTAAAGGCTGTTCTGTGCATCAGTTCTGCTAATAACAAAGGGACACACATGCACACACACACACACACATATATATATATATATATATATATAAACATCCCCTTTCTTGGCTTTATAATAGCTGTAATTAATTTTACACTATTGTTAATCCCAAGGATGACTACAACCTAGTCGAAACGTCGATTAAAAATCAAAATGTTATTCAGAGTTACTGTTATTTTGTATTTTCTTAAAATACTGAGTGGTTCCCATAATTATTGCCAAATTTGTTCTGCTTATTGAAATTTTGGGTTGGAAGCATTAGCTACTTTCTCATACCAGAGCAGTGGTGTAGCCAGTCCGATAAATATTTAATCCCGCTATGCAAATTCAAAATTATTATGATTACTCATTTCTTTAGAAATTGACTATTTTCACAGTCAATGAACATGAAAATATTTGCACGGCAGGACTAAATCGTTGGGCTGGCTACACTGGTGTACAAGAGCCCTTCTTGTGCTGTTTTACCAGCCTCGTATCTAGCCCTCTCAAAGTTTCGGCAAGTGTAGGCCAAGCATATGCAGCTGCTGAGTTAGCGGTTATTTGATGCCGTCAGGATGCTATATAGTTTTGCCACCATATTTCAAAAAATCAGGTGAGAATTTTCACAAAATGGGATTATAATATATCTGACAAAAAATAAATTTCTTATTATTTTAGGACATTTGTATAAAACAATATCATAAAGTATTTTTTATGTTCAAAAATGTAAAACACATAGACTATTTACTTTAATTGTTCAAGAGAAATTTGCAACAGACTTAATTTTAGAATTTCAACGTGTGGTGGTCAAAACTTTACAAAGAAAACGTGTGTTTATAAATTGTAATAAATACTGTTTAAAGAACCATTCCTTTAAAATATTTTCCTAATTATATCTTACCACATAGTAAACAAATCTTTGAAGCCATTTTAAAGTTCTTTGGGCTAGTAGTTACGTTTCAAAGTCGATATATTCATTCATCTTTCACGAAGTCGACAAGCTAGAAGAAGCCATTGTCTCGCAAAGCCTTCCCGGCTGTTCGCGGGCAAAATTGAAATTAAGCTCAACAACCAATCAAAATACTTCAAATCTGAGCAAGCACTCCAGATCAACTCAAAATCGCTATTCAACTATACGCCCAATCTATAATATTCACATTATGAATTGTTTTTAGCATGAAATTCCCACATTTTATAATCCTTTTGATGGCTGGAATAACTGCTTTCATTGGTAAGAGATTACTTGAACTATTATCTATTTTAAAAATCATATAAATATCGTTCTCTCCGGTGGCCTCTATAGACACAGACTTCAAAACACTACGGGAGTGATATCGCACAGATTGATTGATAGCTAATATATGCAGGGCCGGCCGCCCAGAGGGGAGCAGGGGGTGAAAAGGGGCAATTTGCCCCGGGCCCCAGACTTAAGGGGCCCTAAACTACAATTGGTTTGTATAAAAGTACTAAAACTGTCTGTACCAGTGTAGGTAGTACCAATGTGAAAATCTGTGCTGAGTGGTTATGTTACTAACCAGGGGGCCTTCGCTCGAAACGTCGAGTTTCTGCTTATTTTTTAAGGTAGTTTGTATAAAAGGATTGCATTAATTTAAATCTTATATATAGAGATCCTAGTTATCATACCAAAGCTTGGAAAGGAATCCGAATTTTTCTGCTCAAGTGTGTTTGCAGACGAGGCCATTAACAAGCCTACAGCGTTCTGTGAAACCCAGGGTGTTTTGATTCATTATACCAGTTTGGTGATTGGAGAGCTGTTTGTCATTTACAATGCAGTTTTACTCAAGGTTTGACTGACAATCTGACTATTCATATACAAAAAGTCAAAGTTTCTGTGATTACAGTAGGAATTTTGCATAGGTAAATTCTACGCTTTGAAAGATTTGTAAGAAATGTTTGAGGGAATTACTGATACTGATTCAGATCACTTAAACATTTCTTAAATCCTTCAAAACTTAGACTTTACTTATGCAAAATTCCTACTGTGATCACAGAAACTTTGATAGTGTAATTAAACCAGCCTTAAGTTTTATGAAAAAGGCCATTTCTGTTTTTGACGAGGTGTTTATGTTTTTTTTTCAGCATTTGGTTCTTGACAAGCTACCATGCGAAAGTTATAGCAAAAAGTTTCTAAGCATCTTATTCCTAGCAGTTCTAATACTCCCAATATTTCCAGTAATTTATGTATTGAAAGCTGGTGACAGTTACACTGTACTGTATTTGCGATATTGTTTTCCGAGAAATGCGGACGAAGGGTATTTTTCATGCTTGCTGCCCCAACAACTGTTCGTGGGTATTGGTACAACATGTATCCTACTGGTGATTTTTAAACTCATTAAGGTACGCCAATGTTGCAAAATTTATTTTTGCGCTTTTTCGCAGCATTAATTAACAATTATTCGCCGAAGGCGAGGTGATTATCGGTGAATAAAAACCGAGACGAAGTCGAGGTTTTTATTCACGATAATCACCGAGCCTGAGGTGAATAATTGTTTTAGTATAATTTCATAGGCGATTATTTGGGAAAAATAAGAAAATACACATTTCTTCGTCATTTAATTGTCAAAAAGGCTTCGGCCGCCATTTTGAAAATCGCTTAGGTGATTATCGCGTAATAATCACCTCATCGGCAACCAATCAGCGTGGAGAATTTTCAATAATCACCTATGTAATTATACTAATGACTATTGTTTCGAGTAAAAGCTAGTGGCAATCACTCAAGCTAGATTGTTGAATACTTTCAAAAATGAGTAAAATGGACGGTTATGGAGATATATTGCCGTGGTATAAAGATAACCAGACGGTTATTTATTTCATGTGTTTCCCACTCATGGATTTTATTTATTTATTATGCTTTGCCAGTTTCACACAATCATATCTGCACAAATACAAAAATATACAAACTATCAATCAATCAGTGGCAGGGTATATGCTACAGCTTACGCCAATTACAACAGCCCTTACAGAACGAATATGATACATTCTATATTAGATCTTTAGTAATTTAAAAAGGCCAGTTTGCACCCAGGAAAACCCTCCGCAGGATAGTAACGGAAAGGAAAGTTACATAGTTTTAAACGAGCTTGAGAAATAGTACATCAAATTCTATTGTATATTACTAGGAAAGAAAATCCAGTTTAATTGGATCTCCCAGCCAAGCAAGAAGACGACAAATTCAGCTGCAAAAGATTGCTATTCAATTCATAATCGTGATAATATCATACATCGTGTGTGTTTATCTCAGTTATGGCGTGCTCTGTATTCAACTGAACAACAGAAGAACTTTGGGAAAGTCGTTAGAGGAATATTTTGGATGTTTGATTTTCACGAAAAATTGCCCAGAAGGTAAAAGTAGTATTTTAACTAATTGGCTTCACAACGGCTCCCTGTTTAACTCCAGCTATCGAACACTACATATTTTCGGTTATCAACGAATCAATTATCTTTCGGTCACAAGACTGTCAAGAAAAGAATTGGGGTCAAGATTAAACAGAAATATATTCCTGCCTGTAACATGACGATACTACATATCATGCATCAGACTGGGGGAACGAATACATTTGCCATTGATCGAGAACCCAGTTCCAACCCTGGATCTCTGGGGAGAACAGTTAAAAACTGATAGACTGCTAATCCAGCGTATAATGTCCAATTATGAACTTCTCTGGGCATCTCAGTCGATATATTAATTGTTGAATGGATTAGTAGATAGTAATTTCGAATGCTTTTAATTAATTAGCCTGCGAACAGGCTCTCAAGCTGAATTGAGAGCCTGCATCGATGATTAATGAATTTGAATATCTGCCCCGTAACATTCGTTTTTCCAAATATGGAATGTCTATCCTTATATGGTGTTGTTTACAACTTTCGTGCAAACTAAATTTAGACCGTACAGTTTATACTGTTTTTCGATATATAAGATAATATTCAAGCAAAAGTTCAAATGTTTTAAATACTGTAGTCTCAAAACAGAACATTTCGTGCTTTGAGATAAGATGGCCAAGACCAATTTGATCAGTTAATGTGTTTTTTATGCATAGTTCAGCAGTTGACATATATAGAGCTCAGCGGAAACATATAAATTATAGCATCTGACCAATGAGAATTTCGCGTCACGATTTGAGACGCAGATATTCAAATTCATTAGTCATCGATGCAGGCTCTCAATTCAGCTTGAGAGCCTGTTCGCAGGCTATTAATTAATAGGTCTATCCAGCAGCAATCTCGTACCCAGAGCAATGCCTGTACGCGGGCTAGGATGGCATTGGCTCTGGGGAAATTGAAAACCGGAACCCCTAAATTCTGGGGTTCCGGTTGTTGTGAGCATGCTCAAAAGCCCCACCGCTTAAACACGGGGAGTGCAGACTGCAGACTCCAGCGTAATATTTATGTTTGGAAATCATATAATTTCATGGTACAACAATACAGTTTTCTGACATTGAAATGATTGAATACGTCGGGCTTGAATCAGAAAAGGTATGGTTTAAAATTTATGAAATTTTTTATTTATACTGGCTATATTCACCGCATATCAGTTTGTTTATATAACGTCTTATTATTTTTATAAGTTTTTCAAGAATTTGAGATACTGAACTTAATATAATAATTTATTAAAAACTGTTTTAAAATAAATAAACTTTTAAACTGGAAAACTATGATGAACGTTTAAACCAATCACAACACAGGAAAAATTCAATTTCCCCAGAGCCAATGCCATCCTAGCCCGCGTACAGGCATTGCTCTGGGTACGAGATTGATCCAGCAGCAGTTACGAAAAAATGCAACCAACGGCCTTCGGCAGGATCGGCAAGCATCTACTAATCTAATATTGAATAGACAACTTGCATGTTAGACAAATTTTTGATCTAGCCGATCTAGGCAAAAAAAAAAGTAAATTCCCGTTAAGAACTTATTAAAATTAGTAAACTTGCAAAATTTGGTTGTGAAATGTTGTAAAGCTCGGAAAATATAGCTTTGCAAAGTTTGCATATTTTCAGTATATTTGTATTACTTGCGGAAATTGTTACCATTTTCGGCTCAAAAATGGTAACAATTTCCGCAAGTAATACAAATATACTGAAAATATGCAAACTTTGCAAGGCTATATTTTCCAAGCTTTACAACATTTCGCAACCAAATTTTGCACTTTTACTAATTTCAATATGTTCTTTTTAGCTGTGGTGTCTGATTCCCTTTTCTCTGCTTAGATTAAAATTTTGTCTAACATGCAAGTTGTCCATTGTCTTTAGATTTTCGCGAGTATGTAACTCCGTATGGTCTGATGATTGTTTTCCTGCTGGCTGGAATCGTTTTCCAAGGTGGCACATTTATTCTTCTGGTTGGCAAACAAAAAGCGAGAAATTTATGGCGATCCTGGTGGTTTGATTTGACGACAAAATGTCGGCACCCAAAGCCAGCAAAGGGAAGAATGCCGAGAAGTACGTCATCCGCTCAAGAATTGCAACCTTCGACAAGCGAAAAAAAGACGGACACTAAAAACTAGGTTATGTCGTTAAGTTGAAACTATACACCTAGGGCCAGTTGTTCAAAGGTAGGTTAGTGCTAACCCTGGGTTAAAATTTAACCTGCTGTTTCAGTTTCTGTATTTCTACACGTCTGTTTATTTCAAAACTTCAGAGAAGTAAACTCCTGTTGGTCCAGACAATATCTCTGAAGAAATATTTCCAAATTTATAAACAAGCTGTCAGGAAGTTTGCTTTGAATTTTAGGTTAACCTAGGGTTAAACTAACCCAGCTTTGAACAGCTGGCCCCTAATGATAATGAGCTAAATTACGTTTGCATCGAGTTCCTTAACCTTCTTATTTTACGCTTTAACCAAATTCTTAACCTTATAAATGTTAACCTTAATCCTAACCTAACCGTTGCGTTGAATAACATAAAATAAAAAATAACAGAATATAACATAAAACAACTTTCGAAAAAATAATCTAGCATTAAAATGCTGTACTTTACAAATACTTTATACATTGTTATAGCTGCAAATTATGAAATTTTAATCCAAAGAGGTCGCGGTCAATAAATGTTACCTGGTATGCTCCGAATCTTTACCTTAATACACATGGAGTCTGGTATGCTCTGAATCTTTACACTAATACACATGGAGTCTGGTATGCTCTGAATCTTTACCTTAAAACACATGGAGTCTGGTATGCTCCGAATCTTTACCTTAATACACATGGAGTCTGGTATGCTCCGAATCTTTACTTTAATACCCATGGAGTCTGGTATGCTCTGAATCTTTACCCTAATACACATGGAGTCTGGTATGCTCTGAATCTTTACCTTAAAACACATGGAGTCTGGTATGCTCCGAATCTTTACCTTAATACACATGGAGTCTGGTATGCTCCGAATCTTTACTTTAATACCCATGGAGTCTGGTATGCTCTGAATCTTTACCCTAATACACATGGAGTCTGGTATGCTCCGAATCTTTACCTTAAAACACATGGAGTAACATTCATAGAAATACTATAGAAGTACTCGATTCAGTTTACATTCTTCCACAAAGTTATACTCCATTTCAGCGAAATGCGACCTTGCTTCATCCAGGAACATTCTAAATGCAGGATTTTCAGGAAAATCATTCATCATTACGGTATCATTATAATCAAGAATCCCAGGAACCTTCTCCCTGGGCGTAAACGGACCATACGCTTCCACTTGAACCTTGTACTTCGTGAGGCGATGGCGAAGCATGACGTATTGCTGTAGTTCTTTTGTGAACAGATCTTTATTCTGAAGAAATGCAGGATCTTTTAAGTTTTCTTTTAGTTCCTGGGTCAGGCTTCGTTCAATCGTTTTGATCTTGTCGTCTAAATTGTCTAAAACAGTAAAAGAAAACAGTAAAAGAAAACATGAAGTCGTTTGCAAGTAAATGTTGCTTGTGATGTTACTCTGAGTGTATATCCACACCGGGCAAGCTTGGAAAATATGCCTGGCCACGGTGGGAATCGAACCTACGACCTTTGATAGGTTCGATTCCCACCGTGGCCAGGCATATTTTCCAAGCTTGTCCGGTGTGGATATACACTCAGAGCCAACATCACAAACATCATATTCACCTGAGTACATTACACCAACACAGAAAACAAGTAAATGTTGGTTGTAAATTAGTATGGAAATAGGTGGAAAAGTGAATAAATTTGCTTTATTTATATAAGACAGCTCTATCGGTTCTACACTGTTCACCCTACAGCTCCAGTAAGGGCCATCCCTCATCCACTCAAATCTTATTACAGGAACAAACCTTTGAGCCACATATGGTCGTAAGGATTGAGGCTACGTTTACGCTGTATCAGATAGCTTTCTGTAGCGACATGAAAAAAACACCTATCTCTACCTTTTAGGAACGCTATTTTCAGAGGAATTATTGCAACAGAGAGATGTTGTTTCGGCCAGTTTCTGAAAGTTGTACATTCCGTATCGGACAGGTGCTTTTTCACGCCGCTACGGAAACCTATCCGATATAGTGTAAATGCAGCCTGAGTTACGATCTTTCCGGACAGCTGAAATACAACAGCTTAACACTGATAATAGGCAGAGTGATTATACAGAACACTTATGATTTCTATGTGGTTGACAGGTAAAAAACTATTATAATCTGGCTGTTGAGAAAGATCGTGACTCAATCTTTATGACAGATATAACTACATGGGAACCAGGTTTAAGTAACATAACTTTATTTGATCAGTGTTAAGCTGGAGTTACACGAGCAACAAAATTTGTGCAACTTGCAACAAAATCTGATTTCTACGCATGTTAATTGAAAATGTTTATACATACATTACAAAGTCACGAGGCAACATGTGTCGACATTTCTACTTAACATGCGTTGAAATCAGATTTTGTTGCAAGTTGCAGCAATTTTGTTGCTCGTATTACTCCAGCTTTACCAAAGCAGGCAACTGTAGTAGCTGGGGAAGAGTTGTGGTGTGTGATACCTGCACAGGTACATTAGCAAGGTCGCACCAACAAGCAAAAAATTTAAACGTTTAATAAAATGGGATTGACGACAATAGGTTACCTGGTTTCCATTTTCTAAACTCTTTCGGCCAACTTGCGCCACCTCGACCAATATAATCAATCGCTGGATCACCTAACAAAAGATCATGTATTGTTACGCTGGAATTACACTGGCACAATAAGGGAAGCCAATTGCTGGATCTCTTGGGGAAACAGTTTTAGATTAGATTAGTTTATATTAGGTTTCCTCCTGTTTTAACACTGGACCAATGACAAGGTAAGGAGGATACTTAATCTGTGTGCTTATCAGCGTAATTCCAGTCGTAACAATACCACCAGCACATGTGGTATCGTGGCTGTGCTATACAGCTAATTCAATTAAGGTTGTCCTTCCAAAAACTTAAACCTTAAACTCTGTGCGCGCAAGGGATGATGGGTTATTGCTTATTTAGATTTATAAACATTGAAATTTGGCTTTGCAAGAATACCTAAGACATAAAGAAGACTCATGACAAAAAACATACTTGCTGCAAAGGCAATTTTCTGTGTTTAAGGGCCTAATAGGTGAAAACCCATCATCCCTGGCGCGCTCAGAGTTAAATGTTTTGGAAGGACAACCTTAATTGAATCAGCTGTATACTGTGCATACCAAATTTCAGGCATTCTTGGACCAACATATGAAATTTCACCCACTGCTTCTCTTGGTAGCCAAGACTGTAACAGAGACGAAGCAAGAGCAACGGTAGAAGACGAGGGCTGGCAAAAAGCTGAAATAAAAAATGGTGAGCAAAGGTGAGTTTCCATTACAAAAACCGCGAACATTAGCCAAACAAACCCAGAACATTACACCAACCCGGAACATTAATCAAACAAAATCTCCCAAATATAGCGAGACAAGATTGAATTGCACAAAGTAGTATAACTCTCCATGTAAATCTGAACGATTTAAACAAAACCCAGTTGTATATGCTATTGATCAGGGGGGGGGGGAATAGACCCCACCCCCCAACTTTTCTTCAAGACCAACTTTGTAATTAGTCCGAAACTGAGGGGAAACTGGGGGGCGAGGTGTAACCTCGTAATGCTTTCATTCATGACATAAAAATAGACCAAATTTCTGGCTTCCAAAATACAAAAGCTCAATAATGATAAAGTGTTCCTACCTCATTCAAAGTTCCAAAAACGGTCTGTGAAAGAAGGATCAGAGCGAAGTGAACATATCCATTTCGCTTCAGGATGGTTGTCATGTCTAGCCAGTGTGCTGTTTGAGACACACGAGGAGGCAGCTTGTCTAGAAGTACGATAAAAAGAAAAGCGTTAAAACATCCAGTGAGCTCCCTATATGCTGTCAACGTCATCTGACGACAACTGACAACATTCGTCATTAACATTCGGCAAAACCTGAAATTTGAAACATACATACCTTCGCAAATATGACTGAAAGCTTGCAGAGCACCGAAGATAAGAGCCCAGAGTAAAGGATTAAGATACCATACCACACCAAAATGAGCCAGAGTTATAGCGTCGTACCAATGGCTTGAATTTTGACCCCAGATTGTCTCCGCAGTCATGCGAGATTCATCAAGCCGAAACGAGTTGATGACGATGATTTGAAATAACATGTTTGACAACATGTACATAAAAAATAATGGCCATACCATGAAAATCTGGATAAATATATATTATTTATGAGCTGTTTTGTCTCGTGCTTGTGAAGTTGGATTCAGTTATTTTTCATTTTTATTGCTGATGTTACTCTGAGTGTATTCACAAGCTGAAACACAGCTCGACTGCGATGGGAATGGAACCCGTGAGCTTTGGCTACTAGTCCAACACTCTAACAAGGTCAAGTCCATAGACAATTCCCATTATAGACTATAATTTTTTTATCTTGGCAAAAAAAGTACATTCCCGGAAAGAGCATACTAAAGTGAGTAAAATTGGAGAGTTTGGTTGCAAGATGTTGTAAAATGTGGAAAATATAGCCTTGTAAAGTTTGCACAATTTATGTACTTTCGTATTGCTTGCGAACATTGCTACCACATTTTGGCCTAAAATGCATAGCATAGATATATATGTATATATATAGACAAGTATCGAGTTTGGAATCATATATGAGTAGAGTGCTCAATACCGTAGTAGAGCTGATAAGATTAGAAGACAAACTTGAATTACTAAATAAATATATATATATAATATAAATAATATATATATATAATATAAATTATATATATATATATATATATATATATATATATATATATATATATATATATATATATATATATATATATATATATATATTATATATATATAATATTTAACAAATATATGTCAAAAGCCCGAAGGATAAGAAAAATTTCCGTGTTTACAAGGGGTGGAAAATTTCCCGTGTTGACATTGAGTTATATCAACACGGCTCTTAGCCAATCAGCGTTCAGAATTTACAAATGCTATATTATAAATATAGATATATGCATAGATTGTCTCGCAGCTGACTTGGTAAAGTCAACTGGCGAGTGTTGACCTACTCTTTTCACATAAGTGTCATAAGACAAAGACAATCAAACCCACAACCTCAGAGGCTTGTTTAGACGATTACGTCAAAAAGATTTAATTTAGTTTATGCTTCCTCCTGTATTGGCACTGGAACAATAATCGATAGCCCTTACAGGACCACTAGAGAGAACGGTTTAGAGCTTACCCCAAAGAGAGGCATCTTATACAAGCAACCCCAGATAATATACCATGCTTGCAGGAAACAGACAAATAGCAAGGTTCCATTCACAATAAAAACGCTCACATCGTCAATTTTGTAATAGCCAATCAAACGCCACTGAGCAAACCACGTCGCCGTAAAGAGAACGATGAATGGCTAAAAAATAATGAGAATAGATTGCAGATTTGTGAAACGGGATGTTCGTTTAATCTTTTGCAGCTGGTTTAGACACAAACCAAGATAAATAAACAACATACCATGCACAGGTAATGACCAAGTTTTGTAAAAAATTTTACGTGAAAAATTTCCACCAAATACAGCTGAAAGTAGAGACTAAGACCCGTGAAGTTGGTCAACGGCGACACCATAAGCTCCCTCACAAATTTGAGAAAAGGGTTCTGTGAGTCGAAGAAGGGTTTGCAAGCCTTTCTTGTGTAATACAGGAAATAATCATCATCAGCCAATTGCTTTGGGGTCTCCGGACGGCTGTACTAAAAAATGCAAGCACTATTAATTTATCATATCAATGTAAATAAAGTACTGGAGTTACTGGGGATTAATGACTTATACGATCTTGGGAGAAAATCAGACGGATCTCTGTCAAAACAACCTAACCGAGTAGTTACTTATTGGTTTGTCAAGTTTCTCACTCACTGGTGAGCAGATTTCCCAACAGTTATTGCTCAAGGATTGAACCCATGCTTGCAACACAGAGTAGATACATATACAGAGTTATAACTAGTGTACCCACTTTTTTTGTGCGCGTGCTCGGCAAGTTAGTAGATGCATGCATCCCATTGGATGGCGACTCGCTTTAACTTCTCGAAGAACTTGCTGAGCTCGTGTATCAGACATCAGTTAAAGACCACGTCTCAATCATGAAAACGAGGCTCTATAGTCAAAGTGACGTACTTTCCGGAAGCGTGTATTGTCTGCGCATACAGGTGGAAAATACAACGAATATCCAAGTAATTCAGGGCTATGGAATGGACCATTTGCATTATAGACTAAATTTTGATCTAGACAAAAATTTCATCACAGCTTGAAAGAGCATCACAAAATTAGTAATATTCCAAAGTTTCGTTGCGAAATGTTGTAAAATGCGGATAATATAGCCTTGCGAAGTTTGCCGTTTTTCAGTCATTTTGTATTACGCACGTGAAATTGACAGCCCAATCGGGTGTTGGGGCATCAATTTCACGTTTGTAATGCAAAAGGACTGAAAATTGCAAACTTCGCAAGGCTATATTATCCGCATTTTACAACATTTCGCAACGAAACTTTGGAATATTACTAATTTTGTGATGCTCTTTCAAGCTGTGATGAAATTTTTGTCTAGATCAAAATTTAGTCTATAATGCAAATGGTCCATTGACCAATGATGAACACTTACATGTCTTTGTAAAAGTGGCTTTGCTTCACCGGAGTGATCTGAATCAGGATGACCTGAACTGCTTTCTGGCTGTCCACTATGAGTCTACGAGACAAAAGAAGAGTGTTGACAAAAGAAGAGTGTTATACTGTTATGAGAGGCATCCCCCCTGGACGTCTGCCATTTTGAATATTATCAGGGGGGTGAATGCCTCTCATAAGCACACTGGCTAGGACCACGGCGTCAGCGCCATTTTGAATATTATCAGGGTGGTGAATGCCTCTTCATAAGCGCACTGGCTAGGACCATGGCGTCAGCATTTTGATGACGAATTACAGTTATAACGAAATCATAGGAAAAACCAAGAAGCCGAGCTTCTGTATAGTCTAGAGAGTCTGTGGTTATAGTATATATGTCTTCAGTCTTTCAACTATGTGGCTTTGGTTCATGTTTGTTAAACTCATTTGCAGTTAGCCCCGTGTACATTGTGGGCGTCTAATTTTGGTATTTCACATCTACAGGGGGGGGGGCGGGGGGGGGGGAAAGGTCCCCTGGAAAACCTTTGAAGTTGGTTCTGCGACAGTAGTAGAGGTTACGTTTATACTTCATGTCAGTATCTGTTCAACCTACTAAAGTACATTCGAAATTTTTCAAACATGCAAACTTACATATAGTTTAACACCGTTCCCATCTAGTTGGTTGATTCGCTGCTTCAAATTATCATCTCTTTCTAGCAGTTTCTTCCAAACTGGTTCTAAAAAGAAGATTGTATGTAAATTGTAAAATTATAAGATACCTACAATCCCATCTCTCGTCTCGTGTGGGAGGACAAGATGAGGAACAAAGAGATCAGAAGATAAGGATCGCAAGGTTGAGATGGTATGGACATAATAAGAAGAGATGAAGGAGAGCTTGTCAGAGACATCAAAGAATGAAGAAATCAGAAGATGTGAGAAGCAAGGTTGAGATGGTATGGACATGTAATAATAAGAGATGAAGGAGAGCTTGTCAGAGACATCAAAGAATGAAGAAATCAGAAGATGTGAGAAGCAAGGTTGAGATGGTATGGACATGTAATAATAAGAGATGAAGGAGAGCTTGTCAGAGACATCAAAGAATGAA